TCTTGGTGTTGTTTCACGAATATCAAACGACGACGCAATATACTTTAACACGACCGCTATCATATGACGACATTATTAGAATATATTAACATCCGCAGGGATCGGATCGAAACTCGAAATAATAGATACTTCAACGCACCACAGGTTCCCGCCAAGATAGTTATTCTTCGTACCGGCTCTCCGAATCGGTAGTTGTTGCCTATCATAGTTTATTCGTTTTTTATTACTATTAATCAATTGAGTTTCCTTCACAGATATAGAAGCCAGTACAGAAATCCCTAATGATTTAAGCATGAAACGTTGAACGTGAGTGCTAGTACGTGCTAGTAGATCTCCAAAAATATATTCAAATTCCTAAAATCATTCAATTCATATTACTTATAATCTAATACCGTTACATTCGTTGTATAAAATTACAATTAATCGTAAGCCTTTAATGTATTTTCTCGAAAGCCAATAATCCTTGGTGTTGCGACTTTTACAAACCACATAAATAGAAAAAACTATATTACAATATACATATTTTAATAATGTATACACAAAAACGTCATTACACGAGGGTTCCGGAAATGAGAATTGATATATATTTTTTTCAACATCCTTTTAAATTACTTTTTTTTTTGTCGTTACAAATTAAAGAAAAAATAAATAAACTGACAAAGCCTCGTATTTGTTATCAGATAGACTATAGCTGTAAGCACGTAATTTTTTTAAATTCCGCTAAACAATAAAATATCGACGCCATAATAGACTGTAATCGATACGGTCGTGTACAGTAATGGTACCCGTCCAATAAATTTAAATGTTATTATTTCCTACACGTATCTCCAACGCGTTGGACGGACAACACTGACCCATACGCATCGAAAACTGATGAACGTAATCGGTCGAGTGCGACCCGTGCGCGACTGTGACCCCTAAGCCTCCCAGAGTTCCGAAACACCTATATTTAATCATAATATTTGCCATCTTCCATTTCAGACGATCACGTCATCGTTTCCTGGTTCTATCCACTGTAAAAGACAAACAGGTATCGTAGTAACATCGTCGAACATCGATGCACGTGAACGCGCGATAATAGCATAAGTTACGTGCGTATTTTTCAACTATCGATTGGTTTGGATCTTACATCTCTGCGCACTCCATTATAGCTTGCGCGTCAATCACATTTGAATATCGATCTTCGTGTTCTATCCACGCCGAACAATTATTGTTATTATTGTTAATATTACGGTAGGTACCCACAACGCCACTAATTCGCGTCCAGAATAGTAGTAGGTGATTGATTGTAAACGATTTGTCCAAAGAGTAAAATTATTATTATCATTATTCTCCGTGATTGATGGAAGTCGCGTTAGACGATGACTTATTAGTAGCTATTACACGCGCATTCGTTCGCGTAACGCGCATACATTCGTATCATAACGCGTCGCGTGTAGAAGTGAATTATTGTCGTCAGACCGTTCCGACTCGACGCGGTTATCGGTGATTGCCGTTGCGGAAAATGCAAAAACCATAGCCGTCGGTGGCGGACCGGATAGCGCGGCGAGAAAAAAATCCCCGCCCTTTCAAAGCACGTGGTCCGAACGATGTGTAACGATGTGTTATTATCAGGGCTCGTAAGTTCATGCATTTTCATGTTTTCTTTACTACATCGGAAAATATACTAATTGAGATGAAAATCCGTTTCATAACAACGATAATAAAAATCTTAAGTTTAATGGAGCATGTTTTTGCATGTTTTGTGTGTAATTGGCATGTTTGGCGTATAGTTGATTTTTTTTTTTTTTGATTTATTAGCGCATATTATTTTATATAAATTCAGCAAAATCGTTTTTCGTGGAAGTAAAAAAAAAAAAAAAAAATTAGATCAATAAATGTTTGAATTCATTGTTATTTACTTTTCTGAACTTGTTTATAAAATCTTAGTATTTAATCAGTAATTTTTATTTTTTAATGACATTAAGTTTTATAAGTTAAAAGCAATACCACGGATACAACGTTATTGCGCACCACTACCACTCTCCTCCTATTGACGTGTCCATTGTAATCTATCTGTTATAGTCGCAACGTGTATTCATCAATTATAATTTTATTAAAACGTAACCGAAGGAAAAGTATAACTTTTAAAAATATGAATGGATAGTTCTTATAATTTTAAAAAATGCTTATACATTTTTTTTTCATGCACAATTAAGGATTCTTAACTCGTATTCGATCAAATGTTAGTGCATTATTGCATGTTTATTTATGCGTTTTTTAGTGCATGCACTTACGAGCCCTGGTTATTATAATTTCAACGCGGTCGTAAGCACTCGTCCGTTCGACATCGAGCGGTTCAAACGTTCGTACCCGCACGAATATCGCACAGGCCGAGCATGCCGAGCATCGCGACGAGATTGAATCGGTTTGGGAACGACCGAGAGCGATTTCGGGACGCTAAGCCCGCGCGGCTGCCGTCGGATTTGCGTGCATAATACGTTATCGTCGGGAGTACGTGGTATCGATCACGCGAGATTCACGGTTTCCGTTCGCAGTACGGCGAAATGCGCGCGACCACATTGATCCGGGCGGACGACGGGTGATGGCACTGTGATCGCGGCAGGACGGAAAGCCGCTGTTAATACGGTGGAATAACTCGCCCTCGGCATGTGCACGCGGTTTTGTACACTCGATTGTAGAGTTGGTGAAAGCCTAAACAATATATACTGTATTGAACGCGTACGACATCGCGTCAGGATAGCAAACAATAATATTTTAAATCATAGATCTGAACAGAGCGGTGGGAAAATGTTTTTGGCCATAAATCTCTTCGCGCTCAGCACTGGTGTTCGATCGGTTTAAGACTCGTAGTTTCGTTTATTCTTTCGTTAAAACTTCTGAAGTCGCACGGTTTGTCACGATATATTTTCTCTCTGCAGCAAAATGCGATCCGACTACGGTTGTAATACTACGTTTACGATTGTTCGTACTTTATAACGGCGCCTCCGATATCCGATTGTAACAATAATCATAACAATCGTTGTCGGGAGAACTGTGTTAAAATAATGAAACGCGTTAACCCGGAACGACCACGGATGCAGCCGTGATAGTATAACCGTTTTTGCAGTACTTACCATTACAGCAACCACTATTAATAAGTACGATGGAAAACACTGGAAAAACTGACCGGGCGTGAGACGCCGATAAATTAAAAAATATAGAATTATATGTTCTGAATCGTTTCATGTTTTACATCGCTCTCAGCAGCCATCCGTGCACTGATAATAATATTAACAAGATTATTTTTTCTTTATCTTATTACTAATTGTTTTCCACGGCCGAACGCGCGTGCCAAGTCCAACCCTAGTCCACGCCCCAGTCGATATTCTTCTGTTCAAAGCCGTTTTTGTTTTTAATATACGTTTTACGGATTTTAACAGCGGACATAAACCGTGAACGGTACCTTTTTCGTTTGATTTTAACATCGCTCTAAAAATCGAGCTCGTACTCCGTACGGATGCGATAATAATGAAAATAACCCATGGAAAATATCGATAGTTCCCGTTTATCGGATACTACATTTTCCTCGTTTTGCGCGATCTATGTTCGGCTTTAGGTTATTGAACGTCGATCATACCGAGTTCGACCCGGTCGCGTTAATCTTCAATAAAGTTATGTTATTTTATTGTCCCTCTCCTTCATCCCTATCGCCTTACATCGACTTCTAAACCATTGATCACTTGTATACATTTTTAAGAAAAAATAATCTATATTAAATATATCCAATATAATAAATAAGGTTCGAAACTTATCGTACACAAATTATTGGAAATATGCATGTAAATATGAACTTTAAATAACCGAAATATGCAACTCAATATTTTTTTAATGCCAGTTAAAAATTTGATTTATTCATTTTAATGTAGACAGTTTATCTTATTTTTTCATTTTTTGACAACAATAAGACTATAAACATTATATCACTGAGTATGTTCGATTTCGTTTTCTTCATCTTCTCCTACAATGAAAAAACAAACAAAATACCTTTTTTCCTTTTACATTTTCTAAAGTTTAGAGTCTAAACGATTTACGATAATCGATAGTATATGCACAAACAATTAGGTATTTCATTTGTTACCTTGTCTTGACTCGTTCTATGATTAGGTATATTAATCGATGTATAAAAGTAAAAAAAATTAATGTTAAAGTTTAAAATAAGTTGACTTAACTTAAAAAAAAACTGCGTTATATGCTATAAATTACTGTTGAATTGCCACATTTTTTTAAATATGCGTTTTGCTCAGAAAACGGTTAAATATATGAAAATATGCAATCAAAATAGTTGTATATCAATCCATTATGGCTTAAAACAAACTTAGACTATTCTGCAATCATTATTAAACAATATGTAAATGCAACAAGTCCTGAACTTCAATTATAAATAAATATTAACTAAATATTATAGTTATTAAACACAATTTATTATTATAAATTTTATTTATTTAAATTATTTACTCTTTCTCTATTAATTTTTGTGCTTAGAAAATGTATAAAAACTGCAGCCCATGACCATTTCTACTCGCTTAATGTCTTATTTTTTTTAGTTAGCATCCATATCGAAACGCAACAGTACAAATTATATTTTCTTCTCCCTGAACAAATTTCACACGAAATTAATTATCTTTTAATTATTATATTTATTAATATTAACAAAATAAAAAATAGTCCTTGTATGTATATAGCGCATCTGATAAGTATAAAGATATAATTATTCGAAAATTTTATGAACGAATTTTAAACGTTTTATTTTACACATTTTTTTTCTCTTATGATCATAAAGAAAAATATCATTAAATTAAAACGATTATTTATTTATTTTATTTTTGTATGAATGTATCATACTATACAACGATGTTAAACCTTTCTATAGAGGTTTGATCATTGAAAAGTACCAATATATTTCGTTTTATAAAATATTTCCTGTCATATTGACTGACGTATTGCGGTTTTTGTTTCAGATACTATCGGATTGAATTCCAACGAACGACATTCTACGAAATCTTTTAAAAAGGTGAGTGACATACAAGGTACTTGGGCTTTTCATCACAATCAATGCGACTTTTAAAGAAACTGTTGACGAGATCATATACGTATAAAATGTTTTATATACGTAATACACTCATTTTGTGGGGAATATAATTTTTATTTTGACATATTATTTCTTCGGTAAGCTCCGGCATAAAACTAATTTTTTTTTTTTTTAGTACCTTGGAACTATATATTTAGACCATGCAAATAATATAACTGAATATGCACAATAATTCTTCGGTTGAGATGATAGGGAGGATACATAAATAAAACCTTCTTCATATATCTGGGGCTCTTGGGACTTTTTCACCTGGTCGGCAAATTTACGATACGTGATATAAAAATGACTTTATATTTTGAGCGATTTTTTTTTTCTATTTCTATTATATTTATTATTTATGATTTTTTTTTTTTATGACTCTTGGGGTCCTTTTAAACATTTTAATTTAAAAATCATTTCGCCGCGATTTAATATTAAATAAACAATAATTTATCAACCCTAACAAGAAAATAAAAAAAAATTGCAGATTCACCTCAATACGTTTAAGCGTAAACCAATAGAAAATAGCCATAACTCAAAAATTTAATAATTACTTATGAGATAATTTTGTTAATATTTTATCGCATTTGTCTCAGTCGTTTTTGAAACTAAAATAGTCATGCCAATAGAAACAAATTTAAATTGTTTCATTTAAATCATAATTGTACTTCACTAACTTAAATCATAATGAAATAATAAAACACTAATAAATAATAAAAATAATTTTTTTTTGTTCATTTATAGATGAAATATTTTATCAAAACTGAAATTGAGTAGTTCGGAAATAATTGCATTAATTTCGATGGGCCGACAGCCAATGTGCCGACAATCCACTGGACTGACAAAATAAAATAATACACAATTTTAAAAATGTTTACAATTTTATATTATTCGTTATGTTCTTATATCTGTGCTCATTGAATTCACTGTATACGCTTATAGACTGACTATAGCAAAATACAACAAAAAACCTGTTATTATTTATTGACTTCAATAACATTTTGTGTATCCTATGTGCACTCAGAAAATCACAACATTTAAGTACTCGAGGTTATCAGATTATCGCGTAAAATAACAATTATTACAATTATTATTTTCTACAACAGATTTGAAACTATTTTCTTATTTTTTTAATAAATATTCAACATTTTTAGTTAGTAAATTATGAAATAAGCTTTTTAATAAATAAGTTAACACCGTATCATTCTTATACAGTGAATTTGATAAGCACAGATGTAAGAACATAATGAATAATATAAAATTGTAAAAATATTAAAAATTGTATTTTATTAAATTTTGTCGGCCTTTGGAATGTCGACCCAATGTATGTCGTGATACCCTTTAATTTACACCTAGTTATTTTACAATATAATGTATCAGATGTGTACAGATGTGTAGAGATAGATAAGAAAAAGATCCTTATTCAGTCATAGGTCGTGTCGAATACACTAGATGGCATCAAAACATTTTGTATTTCTTAATATAACAGGCCTAGGTACTAATATCAGCTGTAAGTAGTACTGAAAACAATTTTCGAATAGGTGTTTACTCTCGATTTCAACTTGTCTATATTGTATACGTTTATCATACTAATCGTCGTCTTAACAGAGGCAGAACTTTATCAGCTTCACAAAACTAAATCAAACACCGTTTTCTGCGTGGGTCTGTCACAGCACACGCCTCCGTTAAAATGTGCTATCGCTTAATCCTGCTTATAAAACCCGTGGGATCTCCGTCAGTCGGTCTTTAGTTTCTGAGGTTGTTAGACTTACCGAGGCACCTACTTACGTGTGGGGAGCTTTCAACCGTTATCCCACCCATATACAGTCGACATAATTTTATTAATATTTTCCCGTCACATTCTCGTAAATATGAAAACCATAATATAGATTGTTCGTTATTAATTTGCACTAACGAAAAAAAGGTCTTAACGAAACTCCTAATTTTAGTCCAACGGTTTCCAAATTGTGCTCCGTTCGTTTTTCCATAGGAAATGTATAAACGTAACAATTATTAATCGTTATTTAAACCAACTAACGTATCTATTTTTACAAGACACCGTCAACTCAAATATAATTCACCGATATGTATACAAACAATATTAAAATCCCGGTAGTATAATTTTTTAATTTTTAGATAATACACATTCCCATTCCAGTTATTTCCCGGCCAGATAGGCCTATTTTGTATATAAATATAATATTAAATGAACAATATCTCATTTTGAATTTCCTCCTATATAAATACATATCATGTGCAATATGCTTCGTAGAACACAGGCAAATAAAACTTAATACTAAATATTGCTTGGGGCTCCACGAGAAAATACTGCTTAAAAAAAAGGCTCCATGGCTGAAAAAGTTTGGGAATCGCTGCCTTGGTTCATGACTTAACATTACAGCAGAATATACGTAGGTGTTTACCAAACTTAGGGTGAGTATCATATGCTGGTGGAAAGGGAAGTGCGCAATAGTGTTCAAATAATTATTATTATTAATAAAAAAAAAAATGCATATTCATCGCATATAATGAATACTTTGTTTGCAAAGTATAGAATATAAAAAGGTCATCACATTTTTTCGATTTATGAAGGGGACGTGAAATAAAAGTTTGGAAACCACTGATGGACATAGAGACAGTGAACTATAAAATAAATGTTATGAAATGTTCGTGTGTTTTTTATCCGGAGCCGCAGTTTTACCTACGGGTACAACACCAGACGTGATAACATTAAATATTATGTGCAAATAAAACGTCAGTATGAAACATAAAAAAAAATCGACTTTTATGCGTCCCGCATTAGAAGTACAGGACTATGATTTTAAAACATTAATTCGCATCAACGTGCGGTTTCGATGACCATTAATACTTTACGCATTTGTATAATAGAATGCGTCGGCAGAGATGACCTTTGCACAAAATTCGTATAGGCCCATGTACGCATACGATTTCATTCGTGTACACCTAGTTTCGAAAACACGATTTAATTTCGTTAAACATGCGAATCGTTGTTTTAAAGTCCCTACGAACGCTTTTAATTCAGCCCTGGTCGATCGTGTAGTGATAATACAAAAATTTACTGTAGTAAAACGTGTGTGTGTGTCATATTGTTTTGTTCACAGGCACCAGCACCCATGGTGGACGATGATCTTTTGGAGTTCTTGGTCCGCGTGGCCGAAAACCCCGCGGAGTGGAACAAGATTCGACGTGTTCTAAGTAAGTACCCATGCATTGAATTTACATTTTATACAAATAATATACTATTTATTCGGGAAAACATATAAATTACAAGTCAAGAATTCACCAAGAAAGCCTGACTTTTGTGAACAGACCATAGCGAGAACCGCAGTTGCCCTGGGCCGCGTTAAAACGGTTCGTTTCTTATGGGATTCCATTTTTCCGACCTTTGTCCCTGACCGTATCTCGTATCCGGTTCTGTCCATTAAAAGGATAATGTTTATTTAATGAAAATATCCCACGATAAGACTACATTAGTGTTTCGTTACGATTCGTAATGTAAATTATCGATGTAAGTACGTGTTACACAAACGACTTATCAACTTGTTCTAGAACAAAATTGAAAAGAAACAATATTACTATGTGAGATAGTGTTTGGAAAGATTTTGACAAAAATAATTAGCGCGATATCTAATAATAACACGCTTATTATTTTAAATGTATGTGCATGTATATTTTATGTGACTATGAGAAAAATTTAATGTATTATTAATCAGTAACCGATTTCTGATACATTTTATTCAATTATAAATTCAAATATTATAAATTATAATAAAATATTACAAATAATGCATATATTTCTCGTATATAATGTTCGTGAGATGATGATTATACAGCACATAATATTAACTCGAAAAATGATGCTTTGAATAGATAAATAAACCAATTTTATTGATTATTATATTATAGTACATTAAACAGTTTACTGCTCTCATGTGAGTGCTTTAGTGGTTTTGAGTACAAACGATTTTTACGTAAACAACGTGACGCGATAAAAAGTCTGATAGAATGTGTTTTACATACTGTGAAAAAATGTTATACCTGCGGCGCAAGGAATGCGGTCGTTGAACAAATTTATCGAAATAATAATTTCTTACAGATATATGATAATGAAAAAAACGATGGTTTCAAAGCGGTTTAAAAAAATCACAAGCAAAATCGCTTTTATTCGAGACCAGGATTGTTTTTCAATTGAAACTATTAATATATTTGAATATTTCGCATACCGTCATCAAAAAAATAAAATACTAACGGTGCAGATGTCAGTCAATAAGGTGTTTTTGTCAAGAATTTCGCCAGATCCTTTTCGAGTAACAGAAAACATTGCTAATACACTTTCAATTTTATTCGTTCGCAGTACTTTATCTCTGCAACGTCGCGATAATATAACACATAAAGGTACGTCCTCATTAGACGCAACATGCGTAACATGTTACTGTAACAGTGTTCGGTGTTCGTTTGCATTGTTGCATTCGCATGTTGCACCATTAGTTTGCAACATGTTACAAGTCATAATTTAATGGTTACCATATAAAATAAATATGTATCCATGTAAAATAAATTAGTCTCTTGAAATTGAGAGTATAGTCAACATATCTTGCTGCAGCTGCATATATTTTTATTTCCCTAGCTTTAAAGAAAAGTCGAAGGGACGTAAGTGGTGGCAAACTCGACTATTCACTCACAGATTGCATTTTGGTGGAAGTACATTATTTTTTCACTTTGCTTTATTCTCTTCAGTATGCAGAGAGTAAAGTGATTATTTTTTTACGACATTCGTCAGGTGACACCGTTTTCGATGAATCCGTTGATAATTGATCAGCAATGGAAATCCAAGCATAATTTTTTTAATACACTATTAAAATGATTTTTATGCGAAGGATTCCCATAATATTTCTTCATCACCGTACATTTCTATAAATTTCAAAATAATTCCGTTTGGCCAATCGAACATTGGATATTCGAAATAAAATGTTTTAATAAACAATAAATACAAGCTCGTTTCTGTGTCAAACGTCAACTGCCAGTTGGAATGACAGAAATTATTAATAATAGGTTAGTTATTAGTAATAGGTCTGCAAATCTGTCCATACTGGCCGCAATATGTTCGTGTAACATCTTTTAATGTTACCCTAAATTACCGACTGTCAGCCGATCGCCGGTTCGTTACACAAATGTGTTACAAGTTCACTGTATTGTTACAAGAATATGTTACAAAAACGCGTTTCAAGTTGCGTGTTGCAGTTGCATGTTACACAAGTGTAAACGCACCATAAGATTCGAATTTTCCGTAGTACGGAAATCGTTAAAATTATTTTCTCTATAAACCATATACGGTTTTCGTATAACCTATCATCGACTAAATATTCTTTCTGGTACACGATATTCTTTAGTATAATAACCGTGCACCCAGTTAAATAATTTCGTTATATTATTTTTACTATTTTTATTTTCGTTAGTTTATCCGTTTCGAGTTTCGTTAGGAATTAAAAGGGCGCGCGAGACCATGAAACTTCGCAAAACAAGGTAAGTATCTAAAAATACTAAACGTACGAACCGTGTGTGTGTGTGTGTGTGTGCGTGTAATCTGTTGCCGACTTGAATTCAATCCAACTGTGCGCGGGAAAATATTTGAATGCTCGTGTTTTAAAACCCGACTAAAGTATGACAAATGAGTTTTACTTTTTCTCATATACGATATTCCTCTTTTTCCCACCGCATCAATTAACGTGCAGTATCAAGTACATTTTCACGAACCAAACCGAGAATAACCCCAGCTTCGTTATATAATAGTGGCTTTTGAATAACATTTCAGTATGAAAAACACTGATTTCTCCTTTTCTCCACCCCCTCCTTTTCATCAACTGTTCCGTCGTCGATCTCTGCGCGAACATAATATGTGCTCGTATAAAAGCACTTAAGAGAATTGCTGCGATGGAAAGTCTTCGATACAACGCGTGACTTGTTCAACGGTCTCGGAATGTTTCGTAAATACGATCGTTATGGTAAAACAAAAACAAAATGGTGTTACCCCCACGTCTTAGGCTCTCGAGCCGAAGAGAGAAAACTATTTGCTTTTTACAACGATGTAGGTATTGTTATTATACATTTTTTTTTCATTTTTCATTTTCAAAAATTCTTCGAAATCACCGTACGTACTGCGCGCAACATATTTCTCAACCGAGTTGGTATTTTGAAAATGCGGAAAGTGCGACGATCCGTGAAAATGAAAACGTTTCAAACAGCGATTTAAATGATAAATATATTACTTAAAATATTGGTACAAATATTACTTAAATGAGAATTTTTCAAAATCAATTACCATGATGATTTTTGCGTTCAAACGTTGTATGTACGAAGTATGAGATACGAAGAATATATTTTAACAATCATAATATAATTTTTATTAAAAATATTATAAGCTCACGTGATATTCGTCTATGAACAATTCGATCAAATCACAATTATAATTTTGACATTACAAAACTATTCGTTTGCCAACAGCTTTCATGTAAATCATTACTGAACTTAAATTGTCTCAGGTTTCAAGGGTTCAATATATTAAAATATTCTTGATGTTTTAGGTACCTTCATGATAATATTTAGTGAATATATGGATGGCTTTAATCAACATATACTGTGGAAACTTTATATTTACTAAAGTGTAATAAAATCTCAATAAAAACTACAAATATTGTTCTTCGTACATTTAAAGAGATTATACACTTAAAAATATATAGTTGAAATGTAATTTTTCCAAACTTGGTATGTTTACATAACAAAATGCTATTTTTTAATCTTCGAACTGTTTTTTCCATTATTATCAACATACTATATTTTAACAATAATAGCTTACCTATTTAATAGAAATTAATTAATAATCATCGGAGCAGCCCACTTGCATCGAAATATTTTTAATGAAAACCGTGCAACTATATTTCATGATAGAGCACTCCTATAATATTATTTACTAATTTAACTATTTTTAGTCTTTGTCAATAATCGGTCCATTTTATCTTAATTGGAGTTCATGAAAATTCTTACTTTTCACTGAACATTATAGTGAAGCTATATAGTACTTACTATTTATTTTGCAGTAGATATTACACATAATTTAAAATGGATTTTAAAATAACAAATACTACTAAAAACCATGAGGGTATAATTTTTCGTAACTTTAAATTCCACTATATTAGTATTTTGGTTTTGGAAGATATAAGTTGATACGACAACCACAATATTAAATAGCAACGTTTTATAAGAAATAGGCGCGCATATGTGCTATAATCGACAGTTAGTGCCTTATCTTTTAGGCGCAACTGTCCACATCCCTCTGGGCGCAAATGTCCTGTACCCATAATCACAACATTGATTGCGCAGTATTCGTCATAAACGAATTTTTCATCTCATATTAGGTTCCTAATCTCTTCAAAGATGTGAATAGGTAAACTATCGAAGAATATGAAATATTATGATAATACTATAAAGCGGTTAAAAATCACAGGCAGTAGATTTGGAAAGCAAAAACAGAATATCTAAAATGTGTAAAACACCTAACTACTATTAGTTTATTTAAATTCATTAATATTAAAAATAGTACGTACAATTATTCGTATGTATAAATTATATTATCATAACATTTCATTATGACTTCGTTACATTTTATATTACGTTATGTAACTATATACTTTAATAATTATTTTGTATAATTAGTATCACTGTAGTTGCCATACTTCCATTACAAACTATTAATAAAAAAGAAAACCATAGGCAAGGCCGTATCTGGGGGAGGTCCAGGGTGTCTGGATCCCTGAAATTTCTTCAATATTTTACGAATATTTAAAATACTTATTTATTTTTAATACTAACATAAATATTTTCAGTCATAAATGACTTAAGCTTTAATTAATCATTGACTGCTTTTAATTTTATATCATAATATCATATGAAAATATGATATCAATTTTAATAAAAGAAGATTAAATCTTTTTCTGTCTTATTTTTAACCAAATATCAAAAGCTAAAATCTAAACTCAATAAAATTACAATATGCATGTTTTAGACCCCTCCCAAAAAAAAATGTTTAGATACGGCTTTGACCATTGAGTATGATAGTGTAACTTAGCACACAAAAATCGTTTGCATAAAATAGTATCATCAACAATTCATATTTATTAAACAACAATTTGACACTTTTT